GGGCTCAGGCAAGCCACTCACCTCAGCCTCCCAAGACGCGGGATTACAGGCTGAGCCACCGAGCCCGGCGGGGGAATGACTTCTTAATGGGTACAGGACAGGTTTCCTTTTGGGGTGATGGAAAATGTTCTGGAAATATATGAGGTGATGGTTGTACAACATTGTGAATGTACTAAATCATATACCTTAAAGTGGTTAATTTTATGTTATGTGAATTTGACCTCAATAATACAAAAAGAAACAAGCATTAGAAAAAGGAATATATTTGCAAACCAAAAAGTCTCTAAATTCTAGCTGCAAGAAGAGGAAGGAGGTAGCGAGTATGAGCAGATCCCTTTAAAGTCCAACCTCACTCCTGCAGAAACCTTGAGCACCAGCCCATGGAGTCAAACCCTGCCCTATGGCCCATTACAGGCCCAAACCAAGAAGCAATCCCTCCACTGGACATAGCCCTCAGTCTTCTTGCCAGTCATCCTGTGCCCAAGCAGGCATTGGTGAAAAGTACTCAAAGTCTGGCCCTTTATAGCACAGGGCATGTAGGAACATCACAAGGTCTTGGGGCAAGGGATCCTGTCGCACCAGCTGGCACTCTGGGCAGAGTGGGTCTGTCTCTTGATTCATGACATCTGTTTCAGTAGCCTTCCCTGGTGCCACGGCCACTGTGCCCAGATCCTGAGGGGCTGCCTCAACTACTCCATTCATCTTCTGGGCAGCTGTAGCCAACTCTTCCAGACTGTCCTTGCCCAATTCTGAGGAGGAGGCCGTAGAGTCTGTGAGACCTGAGGGCAGGTCACCCTCACAGAGATCTAGCACATCCAGGCTCTGTTTGGCCTGGTGCTCTGCCACCAGGTCCCGCAGCAGTTCTTCATCTGTCTTGGGAATGTGGCCACCCTGGCCTCGTGAGGGACCCCAGGCAACTGAGTTGTAGATGGGGTCGTTGAGAATGGGGTGGCCCAGGAACTGGAGGTGGACTCGGATCTGGTGGGTGCGGCCTGTGAGTGGTCGGCACCGTACCACGCTGGAGTGGCCATTGTAGCTTAGCCTCTGGAACACTGTCTCACAGAGCTTGCCCCGGGGATCTACACGGCACACCCCTATCTTATAAGATACCACTAAGATGGGTTCCTTGCAGGTCACTTCCTCGATTGGGAATTCCCCTTCCACCCGGCACACGTACTCCTTCTGCAGCTACACAGGAGGGAAGAAGGAGAAGTCAGTACAAGGACTAAACTCATAGTCTCCAAACCCTCTGCAAAGCAAAAGGAATGCACCAGTGTCAGAAAAAGATTCAAACCCCAACTCCACCATTTGCCAGCTCTGTGATTAAATGTGCAAATCTCTAAATCCCACGAACTCATCTAGAACATGTGAGATTAGAAAAGAACATACCTCACAGGGCTGGGATAAGCCTTCAGTAGTTAGGCTCTAATGTCCTTGGCACTAAGCCTGGTATACAGTATGCACTCAATAAATGTATTACTATCTAGATCTAGAATTTTAAGTTTTAAAACAAAGTTTATTAGTAAGAAAAAGGAAGATTCAGGGCAGAAAGGCCTGCCATGGGCAAATTTTTCGAAGAAGAAAAACCGCCTAGAATTACAAGTATGAAGATGACAATCATTACCATTAAACTCTTCTACCCAAGCATTTCATCCAGAATCTTTCAATCAAGCAGGTTCTCCCTACAATCATAAATACCTTGCTCAGCCTGTCAGTACTTTAAAATGTCTAAACCGCAAACTACCAAGAAAGGAATAACTTGTATTTGGCACTTTAGGTGCTGACCTTCCTGAAGGTAGGAAACATGGCCGTATAAAGATGAAGGCCACTTCAGAACTCTGTGATGCCCTTTTTACACAGAGCATTTGTGAGCCCAAAAAGCAGCTGGCAGAAGACAAAACCTTGGCTCACCTGCCGGTCCCGAACCTGTTCATGAATTCTCTCAGACACTGCAGGTGTCTTGGCAAACATAAGCACCCCTGAGGTAAGGCGGTCAAGCCGATGCAACGGGTGTAGCTCCTTGAGTTGGTGCTCCTTGCCCAGGATGAAGATGACTGTGTTGTGTCGGAAGCGGCCACAGGGGTGGACGGGAATGGAGGAAGGTTTGTCTACAACTACCACATCTTCGTTTTCAGCTAGTAGGCGAACAGGCTCTGCTGTGACTGGTGGCTCATGCCTGTGCACTGTGTTCCGCAGGAAATCATTGTCCTGTCAAAGATATAGATAACTGGTCAGCCCAGAGGCCAGCAGCCTATAACCAGTCAACTTCATACCCAGCTTCCCTGTTCCTTATTATGGTCACAGCACATTCTTAAGCAGAAAAAGCAGTGTGCATAATGAGATCTCATTTTGTAAAAACACAGATGGAGGCCGGGCTCGGTAGCTCAGCCTGTAATCCTGTGCTTTGGGAGGCCGAGGTGAGTGAATTGCCTGAGCCCACGGGTTCAAGACCCGCCTGGGCAACTTGGCGAGACCTCATCTCTACAATAAATTAAAAAAAAATTAGCCGGGCATGGTAGCACGTGCCTGTAGTTCCAGCTACTTGGAAGGCTGAGGTGGATGGATCATTGGAGCCCGGCAGGTTGAGGCTGCGGTTGCCAGGAGCGTGCCACTGCACTCCAGTCTGGGCGACAGAGTGAGACTCAACTCAAAACAAAAAAAACCAAAAAAACACAGATGGACATATAGACAGATTGCTGGCACTGAAAAAATTATTAGAGCCGGGGATGGTGGCTCACGTCTGTAATCCCAGCACTTTGGGAGGCAGAGGCGAGAGGACTGACTGAGCCTATAGGTTTGAGACCAGTCTGGGCAACTTGGTGAGACTTCATCTCTACAATAAGTAAAAAAAATAGCTGGGTGTAGTGACACATGCCTGTAGTTCCAGCTACTTGGAAGGCTGAGGCAGAAGGATGCCTGAACCCTGCAGGTTGAGGACGTGGTGGCCATAAGTGTGCCACTGCACTCCAGCCTGGGCAACAGAGTGAGACTTGACTCAAAAAAAAAAAAAGAAAAGAAAAAATTACTAGAAAAACATACACAAAAATGTTAATGGTGTCAGGTGCAGTGGCTCAAGCCTGTAATCCCAGCACTTTGGGAGGCCGAGGCAGAAGGACTGTGAGCCCAGGAGTCTGAGACCAGCCTGGGCAACATGGCAAGACCATGTTTCTACAATAAATCAAAAGAATTAGCTAGGCATGGAGGCACACACCTGCAGTCCCAGATACTTGGGAGGCTGAGGCGGAAGGATTGCCTGAGTCCAGCAGGTCAAGGTTGTGGTAGCCATTATTGTACCACTACACTCCAGCCTGGGTGACAGTGAGACCCCGATTCAAAAAAAAAAAAAAATGTTAGTGGCAATATCTCTGGGTGGTGGGATTATGAATGTGTTTTGCTTTTGATTATTTGTATGTATTTTATCTTCAATAAGTTATATGCATAAATATTTTTTGAGTTAGGGTCTCATTCTATTGCCCAGGCTAGAGTGTGGTGGCATGGTCGAGGCTCACCACAGCCTTGAACTCCTGGGCCCAAGTGATCCTTCTGCCTCAGCCTCCTGGGTAGCCGGGACTACAGGCGCACACCACCACTTGGTTAATTTTTTCTTTTTTTTTTTTGGGTAGAGATGGGGTCTCAGGCTGGTCTCAAACTCCTGGCCTCAAGTGATCCTCCTGCCCCGACCTCCCAAATTGCTGGAACTACAGGCATGAGCTACTGCGCCTGGCCTTAAAGTTATATTTTAAAAGTAAATTTGGTCAGGTATGGTGGCTCATGCCTGGAATCCCAGCACTTTGGAAGGCCAAGGCAGGAGGACTGCTTGTGGCCAGGAGTTCAAGAACACCCTGGGTAACATAGTGAGATCCTCATCTCTACCTACACTCACACACACACACACACACACACACACACACACACACACACAAAGTAAAAGTAAATTTTTTAAATGGAGGAAAAATCTTAAATTATCACTTATAATGACCCTGAACAAACAATACCAAGCTGTAAGTCTAGAGACTGGGCTCTAAATGGATTTGCCACAGACTCACTACACGCTCCTAGGCAAGTCACTTAACTTCTCTGGGCCTCAGTCTCCTACAAAATGTAAGGGTTAGACCAGACCTGTGCTTTTAAAAATTGAAATAGAAGCCGGGCTCGGTGGTTCAGCCTGTAATCCCGTGCCTTTGGGAGGCTGAGGTGAGTGGATTGCCTGAGCTCACGGGTTCGAGACCTGCCTGGGCAACTTGGCGAGACCTCATCTCTACAATAAATCAAAAAATTAGCCAGGTGTGGTAGCGTGCACCTGTAATTCTGGCTACTTGGAAGGCTGAGGCGGAAGGACCGCTGGAGCCCAACGGGTCGAGGCTGCGGTGGCCGGGAGCAGCCACTGCGCTCCAGTCTGGGCGACAGAGTGAAACTCCAACTCAAAATAAAACAAAACAAAACAAAAATTGAAATAGGAGAGGGGATTCAAATCATCCGTTCTCCAAATGCTGAAATTGCCTTGTCTCCCTTCACAACCATGGTGAGCCAGTGTTACTGACAAATGCCTGGTACTTCTTAGATGTAATGGAATTTTTTTTTTTTGAGTTGGAGTCTCACTCTTGTTGCCCAGGCTGGAGTGCAGAGGCATGCTCACAGCCATTGTAGCCTCAAACTGCTGGGCTTAGGCGATCCTTCCAGATAGCTGGAACTACAGATACACGCCACCACACCCGGTTAGTTTTTGTGATTTATTGTAGAGATGAGGTCTCGAACCTCCAGGCTCAGGCAGTCCTCTTGCCTGGGCCTCCCAAAGTGCTGAGATTATAGGCTGAGTCACTGCACCCGTCCAGAATTTTTAAGAAGTGGTCAAAGCACTGGGTGAGACAATTCTAGTCCTTATCCCTGAAATCTCACAATTCTATTACCTATCCGGCATAAATGCTTTGTGACATGATAAATAGTTTGAATCATAGTTTGGAAGCGGCACTGTTGCCTTGCTGCTGTGTATTTTACCTTAGTTTCCTCACCAATAAAATGAGGTGCCAATACCTACTCGGCAAGTCTGTCGTTAGAATTAGACGTTCAAGTACATAAAACGCTTAACTTTGTGCCCAGCACCAGTAAAAAGACATAAATGATAGCCCTTATTATTACTGTTTGTACATAGATCTATGATGCAGTAGAAAGTGATCAATGCCCTTGCCACAAGACAGTGTATAAAAGTATGAGAATTCCAGCTTCTGTCTCTTGGAAACAAGGAAGCTACCTTGATGAAGAGGATAAACAGGCTGAGTTCTGAAGCACAGAGAGACCATCTACCTGCGGAAATGGGAGGCTGGAGCTAAAAGAGTGTTCCAAGTGAAAGCGAGAACGCTTCCGAATTGATTTTACTCCAGTACCTATACTCTGCTAAGTCTGGGGAAAAACAAAAACAAAAACCCCGCCCCCTTTTCTCGTCCATTCAGGCCAACCCCATCAGGACTCCACCTTGAGCACGATGCTGAGGTTCTGTACCGGCTCCTCGTTGAGGTGCAGGCGGCCCGCCCGGACGGCGGCCTCGTAGTAGGCCAGGGGCTGGGCTCGGAACTCGGTGCTGAAGACGTGCAGCAAGCTGTGGCCCACCCAGCGCCCTTTGCAGTAGGTCCGGAAATCAAAGTAGTAGGGCCGCACTTTGCGCAGGCCACCCTCGAAGTAGTAGCTGGTCTCAGCAAAGTGCTCATCGCCGAAACTCACCCCAGCCCGCCGCTTCTTCGGGGTCGGCACGACGCGCTCCCCGGCTGCGCCCCGTCGCTTCTTCCGCTTGCCCGGACCCAGGGCCTCAGCCGAGGCCTGCTCCCCTACTCCCGGCGCCGGCTCCACCGGCTCCGGGCGTCCTGGGAGCTGCTCACCCTTCGCGTCGCCGCCCGCGTCTCCATTTTGCTGATTCGGGGTCCTCAGCCCGCCCGCCGCCTCGACCTGGGTCGAGGGCGTTTCTGCCATTGGTCCCTTACAGCCACCCTGAATCCTGGCGAAGCTGAGCCTCCGGAAGTCGCAGTGCCACCGTTCCAGAACCCCGAACCGCCCGCGCCCGCCCAGCCACATAGCCGCACGGGCCCCGCTCCAGGGTCGCGCTCTGAGGACGTCACTCGGCACCAGCCAATCAGTGAGGCCCAGTCCCGAGGTGGGGTCTGCGTTGAGTGAGTGGATGAATGAGTTGCTGAGTTAAGTGAGTCGCGTGGAGAGAGTTGAGAGACTGTGAGGATGTCTTACCAAAAGTGGCCGTAGGCAGACGTCCTCCTACCAGAGAGAAGGGCGTTATTTCATAAAGAAAATATTTTGGAATGGCTCTATGTGAAAGGCATGGCGGGAGTTGATCGTGCAGATTTCGTGTAGATATGCTCAAAGTCCCTTGGTTCTAAAAGGAGCTTTATGTAAAACAACCTCCCACCCCCAAATAACCAGAATAAAGGTTACTAAACTCTGAATATAATAAAACCCACCATCTTGCATACTTTAGAAGGGCGAATATTATAGCATGTGACATATCTCAGTAAGTTGTTACATATGTATTTAAAACAAGCACTCCAGAAGCAGTTTTCTTTTCTTTTCTTTTTTTAAAACGCTTTTTAGAAGTAGTGTTTTCACACCTGTCCTTCCCCCAACAGCATGAGAAGGATTAGAGATCTCCCGTTCACATATGCTACCATGCTAAGATTAAAACTGCAAGTGGGATCCCTCTTGCTTTCCTTCCAGGAAGCAAGAGGAAGGGAACACAGTCTCAGTGGTTTCCGTTTTAGTTGGGAAAAAAAAACTGCAAGTGGATCAGACGAATTCTTAACTGCAAAATACTGAAATCAACTCTGGTTAGCTTCATCAGCAAGGGAATTATGGAAAATATATTAGTGCCTCATAAAATTCACAAGAAAGCAGGAAAATAGGCTTAGAAAAAGGGCCAAATCAAAGGAAGCGAAGACCTTTGAGAACCAACCACCTGATGCCAAGGTAGAAACCCAGTTGGGATGCTGTAGACATCTTTACTCTTTGCTCTGCAGCCCTGCCACCCCTTGGAAATTCCTAAATGTTCATATGTCTCAAAGTTCAGAGCCCTGTAGGGGAGTCTTCCAACAGCTAAGCCTGGCCACTGGTCTCAGCCCTGACTTCCCTGACTTCGAATTCTTCCAAGATAGAAGAATCTAACCTTCTTTAGTTTCCAAAGTGGAGTTCCTCCAAATAGGTAGGCATTTGAATGCTAGGATGCCAAAAAAGGGACAAATGTCCAGCCCAACTCAGAAAACAGAGTATTTAGGTCATGCTTATCATATGCATTAGCACTCTGGAGAAGAGAAAGGGAGATCTTTTTAAAGCTAAATTCCTTCTGCAAATCATCAGTGTCGCCAAACTAACTGAGGGACTACAACTGACACTCTTATTCAAGAGTAGTCTGAGGTAGCCACAGCCGCAGAACTCTGTGTATTTAAAAGTCTGATTCCTGACTCTCTCCTCAAAATAAGAAGTATAATTTTTCTTTGATTGTGGGATACATTGGAAGCAAACTGCTTCAAAGGGGAGACCCCATTCCACAAGTGAGTTGCCTTATTAAGATATTCACAATGAGAGTATTACCTTATCCAAAAGAAAAGTATGTGTTATTAGCTAGCCTCTCTGCTTCATAAGATTTGGATGAGAGACTAGAATGCGTTAATTCAAGTAAAATGCTTAGAACAGTGCCTGGTAAAACTATAAAAGATAAAACTATAAAAAAGATAGAAAGCATGACAGAATCTTGTCTCCCTCCCATTTCTGATATACAAAATGAGACTCTGCATTTTAGCATGATCCCCAGGTGATTTCTCTGCATATTAAAGTTTGAACTGGGATAGACCATGTAGAGTAGACATTCATTATACTCTGAGGACATCCAGCATCTTCTGAACACCCTTCTTCTGAGTGGGGAATTTCTCACATTACATTACTGCCTCCAAGAGGTCAAAGCCAGACCCTTCACAACCTCTCTTGCAGCTTGGGCATAGACATTTGACCTTGGCTCCAACTCAGGCAGAGACTTTGGTTCAGAGGTGCACAGCCTGGAATCCATGTCTGACAAGAAAGCATTGGAGGCAAATGATTTGAGAGGCTAATAGTAAGGGAGGTTCTTGTGTCTAGTGCCCAGTCCACAAACGATGCCAGCTATGGTGTCTATGTTCAGTGGCAGTGGGATGTTCTCTGAGGAGTCCCTCAGTGAGGCTTTGACACAGTTTCTGGCTGTATAGACTTGAAGCCTGACACTGCACACTTTGAGATTCTGTGAACTACTTAATATTCTTCAATCCTGTACTGTACAATATGGTCACCATTAGCCTCATGTGGCTATTTAAATTTATGATTATTATTTTTGAGTTGGAATCTCACTCATAGTTTTGCCAGTCACGCTATTCTAAGCATTTTACTTAAATTAACACATTCAAGTCTCTCATTCAAATCCTATGAAGCAGAGAGGCTGGCTAAGAATACATTTATTTTGGATAAGGTGATACTGTCGTTGTGAATATCTTTTTTTTTTTTTTTTGAGTTGGAGTCTCAC